ACCTCTGAAATGTACTTGGACCATTGCACAATCCAAATGGGACACAATTAAACTCATATAATCCTTCCGACTTTACAAATGCAGTTTCCTTTTTCTTCTTCAGGAACAGGTACATTCCAATAATCCATAACAGAAAAGTACTTCATAATAAAGGTTTCGTTCAACATACACTAATCTTAATGACCCAATCGTAACGCTAACTTCAAATCATATGCTTTTCTTTTATACTTCCGAGAGTAAGAGTAATTACCAAGAAAAGTTTTCGATCTCACGCTGCAATGGGTTTTGGGAGGAATGTTACGATTATGAGTGCGTACTGTATAACTATTGGTTTCAGTGGTAATGCAATGAGTAATAACGATTACAGAGATGGTGTGACAAAAACCCTATCTAAAACTGACAGAAACCCATTTGCTCTATAACAGCGTGAGACCGGGAAATTTTCTTGGTATTACTCTCACTCTCGGACGTATAAAGGAAAAGCATATGAATTGAGGTTAGGGTTAGCGTTGGGTCATTAAGACTAGTGTAAAGGTTAAAGTCCGGATTAGAAAAATAAAGAATTGATTGAAGATATAGATATTTAGGTAAGGCTTTGAGGTTAACTCTAACCCTAAAACCTACCCATAACAGTTATTATACCCTTAGAATAACCCAAACCCTAACAATAAACCTAACCCAAACCCTAACAGAAACCCTAACCCCATATCAAACCCTAACTCTAACCCTAATCCATCCCTTATTTCTTACCGTAGTCCTTAACGCTAACTCTTCACTAATTCAAGTCTATCTCTTACCGCGAAAATTTTAGCATTACGATTACCCTAATCCTACCCGTTACATGAACCTAACGAAATTCCAAATTAAGTATTTTCTTCTTTTTTTTTAACCCTATCCCCAACTCCAACTTGTTGGAAATTTTGTTACATGCACTTTGGAAATTGCACTGAAATTTGTAGAACAGTTTAGGCTGGTTGGAGAAAGATGTTTTTTTATCTCCATATATTTCATGCACTGAAAGGAAAAAAATAAGAACATACTATGCGAAATGTTTTTGACTGTCAGGCCGAAAATTATGAAAATTAGTCTCTTGGTTTCTGTGCATCGATCAATGTTAAAAACTTCTCCACCGTCAACTGTATGAAATGTGGTAAAACACGTGCATATTGATAATGACAGTATTGTAAACACATTTTGTAGTACTTTGTGGTGCACTGGTAGTATAGACATCATTTTTGGATATTTTGAAATCAGTATGAATTTCCTCCGATCATGGTACGGCTGACAGAAGTTTCAATGAGTCAATGAATTGCAAAGGAAATAAAATGCCAACAAAAGGTTGTGCTCTTTGTTTTTAATTTTTCAACCAGTTGTCAGAGACAGAGTCACATCAAAATAGGGCTTTTCGTCATTCCATCTCTGTTGGTGATATTACTCGTTGCATAACCACTGAAATCGATATTAATTCATAATAGTAACATGCGCCCTTAAACTGACAGAAACCCATTGCTCTAATTTTATTACGTGAGATCGGCAATTTTTCTAGGTAGTACTCTCTATCTTGGACGTACAAAGCAAAAAGTAATGTTTCCTCCAGTGTTTGTCAAGACTTTCTTACAAACATTCACTACCAAAGTAGTTGAATTCCTTAAATTCTATCCCTTTTCTTCAATCGAAAAATCTATGAGATTAGCTAGACGACAAGGTTTAGAATACTCCAAAACTCTCAATCAAAAACCTTTACCTGCAGGAAAATTTTGATGAGAATTTTTATTTTCAATTTTGGGGTACCATCAAATGAATTCTAATATCTCGTGTGTCAAAAACACATAAGATTTTGGTAACTTGAAGATTAAAGTTGAATTGAAATGTTAGAGAACAACACTGGAAAAAAACATTCGAAATAAAAACTCTATTCCATTTCAAAAGTTAACCATTCATTTCTTTTTTCTTTTCAGTACATAGTTAGATTAGTTTTGTTAGTTGGACTTTAAATACACTTTTTTTTTTTTTTGCTTTTGTTCTATTTTGGTCTACAATTACATGCTGGAAACCAAATCCAAATAACAAAAGTAAGGTTAAAGATAAGGTTAAGGTGATATTAACAATATTTAGAATAAGTTAAAGTTAGGATAGGATTAGGGTTAGGGAATGAGTTAGTGTTAGAAATAGGGTTAAAGTACGAGTTTGAATTTTAAGATTTAGCATACAATTTTAGAATTCAGGTTAGGTTTAGGATATGCTTTGAGGTTAGGGTTGGGTCATTTAAATTGGTGTAAGAGTTATTAAAGTTCGGAGAAGAAAAATAAAGAATAGATTGAAGATATACATGTAATACCAGTTTATGTTTAGGTTAGGATTAACCCTAACCCTAAATCGACCCTTAACCGTTATTATACCCTAATTCTGACCCTAGCTCTCTACCCTAATAAAACCCTTATTCTTAATGTATCCCTTAACATTATCTTTTTACTAATTCAAGCCTCTAAGTTCCAAATTAAAAAAATATTTCTTTCAGGTGACAAAATTGAATAAAATGGCAAAAATGTTGCTGTGCTCTTTCTGTTTAATTTTTCCATCAGTTCTCAGAGAGTAACAAGAAAGGTTTCCAAAGTACCGAGACGGTGACGTTGGCGCAAAACAACGTCAAATCAAGATAGGGCCTTTCGTCATAATCGTTATCACATGTTGCATAGTTATTCGTTATTACTCGCTGAAACCGATAGTAATACAGTAGGCAATCATAATTGTAGCATTCGCTTCCTAAAACTGACAGAATCCCATTTGCTCTATAACACGTGTGTCTCTATATGAGTGAAAATTCTTGAATGGGACGTAAAACAACATACAATCAATCAATCAAATCATTGGTATACAAAATATGCATAATAATAAAAAATAATAATACTTAAAAAATAATAATAGAAAATAAATACATATACACTACACATAAGATTCACAAGTTAAACGAAATATGCATAAACCATATCATTTGTCATTGCTTATTGAACACTTTGAAATATCTTAAAATTTATTTTTTTGATTACTGAGAAAAATTTTGAATTTTTTTAAAGTTCTTTTTTCTTTGTGCAACTAATTAGGTGTTACACTAAAGTTTTTTTTTTTTTTTGTTTTTTAAATTATATAGTTAATTCATAGTTGTTGATATTGAAGACATTACAAAGTGAAATTCGTCCTCTTTCTCAATAGATATACATCTTTCACATTTTCTATCTTTTCTTTCGATATACTTTACCTTCCTCTCTCCATTCTTCATTATGCGCTGATATAAAGAGCCATATTTTCATTAGCTTTGCTTAGCTCCATTTTCCATATATAAAACTTTGATTCTTTATTGTGCCCCAAAGCCAAAACTACCCAAGGGCTTTGATTTTAATACCTTTAAACAATCTTGAATCAACCGTCAGTCTTTCATGCATGTTTTCTTTTTTCCGATCCCTGATCTTCAGAGATAATTTTAAGAAGATACCAAACTTTATAACCTTTCCTTGTTTTTCTCATCATATTAACAAACATTTTATGGCGAATATTACGATTATGATTACCCACTGTTTTACTAACGATTTCATTGGTTATGCAACGAGTAATAAACGATTACAGAGGTGGCGTGACGGAAAGGCCTATCTTGATGTAACATTGTTTCGTTCCAACGTCACCGTCTCGGTTCTTTGGAAATCTTTCAAATTACTCTCTGATAACTCGTGGAAAAATTAAAAACAAAGAGCACAGAAACATTTTGTTGGCATTTTATTCCATTTTACAATTCATTGACTCATTGAAACTTCTGTCAGCCGTATCATGATTGCAAGAAATTCATCTGATTGCAAATATTAAAAAAAATAAAAACGATGTCTATACTTCCAATACATTACTGGGTACTACAAAATGTGTTCACAATACTGTCATAATCAATATGCAGGTGTTTACCACATTTTATACATTTGACGCTTGAGAAGTTTTTAACACCGATCGATGCACATTAACTAAGGAAAGGCCTTTAGCCAACTTTTATGATTTTCGGCCTCAAAGTCAGAAATATTTTGCATACTATGTTCTCATGCGTTTCTTCCCCTTTCAATATATAAGTAAATGAAATAGATGGAGATGACAAAAATCTTTCTCAAACCAAGCTAAACTGTTCTCAAAATTTCAATGCAAATTTTCCAAACAATAAAAACAAGTTGTAATTTGGGATAAGATAGCAAATAGGTTTCTGTCAGTTTTAGGAAGGAAATGCTATGATCATGATTGCCCTCTGTATTACTATCGGTTTCAGTTGTAATACAACGAGTAATAACGATTATGACGAAAAACCCTATCTTGATGTGACGTTGTTCCGCGCCAACGTCACCGTCTCGGTTCTTTGGAAACCTTTCAAGTTACTCTGACAACATATTTCGCATACTATGTTCTCATTCGTTGCCTTTATATAAGAACATGAAATATATGGAGAAAACAAACATCTTTCTCAATAGAACCTAAAGTGTTCTCAAAATTTCAATGCAATTTACAAAGTGGAAGTTACAAATTTCCCAACAAGAAATAAAGAGAAGTTGTAGTTGGGGATGGGATAAGAAAAAATATTCACATTAAAGAAAAATTGTTTAATGTAGAATTTCGTTAGGTTCATGTTACGCGTAGAATTAGGGTAATGTGAATCATTTTCGGTAAGAGTCTTGAATTAATGAAGGGTTAGGGGTAAGGGCTGCAGTAAGAAGTAAGGGATGGATTAGGATTAGAGTTAGGGTAAGAGTTTGGGTTAGGGTTAGGGTAAGGGTTAGTGCTAGGATTAGTATTATGGTTAGGGTTAGGGTTAAGGCTAGGCTAGGGTTATTATTAGGGTATAATATATAATAATTCTTTATTGCATAATACACTCATATGGGTCACGCAATACAATCTATACAATACATAATAAAAAAAAAACAAATAACTGTTAAATATGTTTAGAATTTGGGTTAGCACAAACCCTTGCCTAAATGGTCATTATGGTACTCTAATCTTAATGACCCAACCCTAAGTTTTAAGAAACGAATGCTACGATTACGATTGCCTTCTGTATTACTATCAGTTTCAGTGGTAATACAACGAGTAATAACGATTATGACGAAAAGCCCTATCTTGATGTGACGTTGTTTCGCGCCAACGTCACCGTCTCGGTTCTTTGAAAACCTTTCAAGTTACTCTCTGACTTCATATTTCTTATATGCATTTCTTATGCGTTTTTTCCTTCTATATTTATATATAAGTACATGAAATATTTGGAGATAAACATATTTATCCAAATAACCTAAACTGTTCTCAAAATTTCAGCCATTCCATGACTGCAAGAAATTCATACCGATTGCAAATATGCAAAAACGATGTCTATACTTCCAGTGCATCACTAGGTACTACAACTTGTGTTTACAACACCGTCATCTTATGTTGCTCTGAAAGAGGAACCCAAGTTTGGTTTCTGAAGTATTGGAGGAGAGCAGCAGGGCCCAGGGAGATGGACACCATTCACCTCCTGCTCGTGTGCAAGGACAGCCTGACTGGTGCACCTGTTCAGAATGCAGGGAGATGCTAACACATCTAGAACGCGTCTGTTGTGGAAAAAATGAGCAGAATTGCTTCTCAAGACTCAGAGCAATTTTTTTTTTAAAACATTACCTGCAAAATTGCTTCTCTCAAACTCTCCAGCAAGGTTACAAGAGTGAATTGAAATTAAGCTTGTCTGTTTCGTCTATACTTTCGTTGAAATTCCAATTTGTTATTTCAAAAAATCAACTACTTCACACTAGACTTCTCTGATCTCGGATTGCTATGATCCAAACAGCGGCTTTACTACACTGGGCTAACATGTTTGATGTACTCTGAGCAAGAAATCAAAATCAACCCTTTCCTATAATTTTTAACCATGCTTAAATTTTTAGTTTGCTTCCAGGGATATAGATTGTATCATATTCAAACTTATCTTTATCATTTCTTGAAAACTTGAACAACCCCCCCCCCCCCAATAAATAAATAAGAGTAAAGATGACCCTGTCATTTACTAATCAAATAGAAAACTCTTTCAATGATCTTTATGTCTTAATTAATCATGACCTTGACAGACAAACCTAATGACGTACTTTTCATTATGACCAATTTTCTGCAGTATGTACAATGACATTTATATTCTCTTTCAGGACTTTGATATAGTAGTTCTTGATGAACTAATTTTACATGTTGCCCGTGCATACATTCAAGAAATCTTTGCCATTCAAGATGACGATGACTACAACAGAGCCAATCCTTATGCTGGGTACAGACAGTACACTCTAGGAGTTGGGCACCGCAGACTTATCCCAAGCTGTTGTGTTTGGAAAATCAGAGACAAGTATCCAACTGCTTTTGGACAGTACAGAGGTTATGTGCCTGGCAGAGTAGGATAAATTCAACAAATTTATTGTAACAATGATTCAACTTTTGATGTTATTTGTTTGTAATGATATAGAGATAATATATAAAAAAAAATTAACAATTTGAAATCTCTTGTTTTTGTTAGAAAATGCATGCAAGGACATCTAGTAATATAACAATTATCAAGTGAAAGATGGCAGCTGATATCTGACATAAATATTGCAAATCAGGTATGAAGGATCACACTTGTAAATACAACAGCAGATCTGAATTTAATTATACAAGATATCTGCAATCATTAGTAGTTGCACAACAGTCCTAGAAAAAAAACATGTATTTACCATATATACATGTACACATACAATGTAATTTTCAATGAGAATAATTTACTAGTAAATGCAAACCATATTTAGAGAGACCTTTTACAATATGCACTTCATGTATATGTATATGTACTAGTCTCATTCAAAGAATGACAAAAGCTTGCTAGAAAATTAACATGATTAACAATCCTGGAAAATCTTGTACATGAACTTTTATTATACCCCCACTCAGAAGGGAAGGGCGTATACTGTTTTACTCTTTTGTATCATTCTGTGTGTCCGTGAATCCCCATGGCAAAGTGGAAGGCAGTTATTTAGCAGTTTCTTAGCCTAAACAGTTTGAACATTTTAGCAGTTCTGGAGCAGAAAGCTGATGGATAAACTAATTGCTTTCAAACCTTTTGTTAAATCTATAAGTAGTTTTCTTAGCCTTACCAGTTCATAACCAGTTTGCAAGCAGTTCACAGACAGTTTCTTAGCAGTTCATAGGCAGTTTCTTTGCAGTTCATAGGCAGTTATTTAAGCAGTTTTCCTAACTGCTAGTGGACTTCCAGTAAACTATCATATACTGCTTATCTATTTCCCTTTTACAACATGAATGTTAATTAGTCAGGAATACATTTCCTATTATCCAGCCTGAAATGATATGCAATTATAATAAATCTACCTATATCAGAAATGCTTGTTACATTTTAATTTATTGTATTTTGTACAATTGTATAACACAGTCAAACAATTAGAGATTGCTAAGATGAATGTTTAAAAAGTATCAAACACTGTTTTATGCATCTGATATTATAATCAGTGTAACTAATAATTAATACATGTACCTTATTTACATACACAAGTACAACCATGAAATTATACTCATTGACTAGTAAGAAATCTTATATATCCCAGGGCATATAAATAATGTTCAACAAGATTCAACACTGAAGGAAAAAGAAAAGTACAGCAAAGATATTCATTTGATTCATCCAAAAAACCGCAAGGCCACATTGTACTTACCAGTTGTTAAATGTCTACATCATTATTTCAATAAATCTGAAGCTTTGTGGCCACCAGGCTCCCTTTTCATGATGCTTTATAGCCTTGGTCCAACAATACAATATGACAGCCAAAAATTGAATTTGGTGGTCTGTTGTTGGGTTCCTGTTGTTTATATTTGCTGATAATTAAGCCCAACATTAAAATTTCTCTTAAACCCAATCAAATTGTACAAGGAAACTGCTTAGAAAACTGCTTCTGAAAACTGTCTTCTCCTCAAGCATAGGCAACCAAGATATAACTGCTAGTGAAAATGATTACTGCTTAAAAACTGCTAAGGAAAACTGTTTATTCCAAAGGCACTAACAGTCAAAAAAGAACAGAAAAAGCCAAAGTGCCTGAAACTGTTTGAAAACTGCTCAACATTTGCAAAACTGCTAAAGAACTGCCTAATAACTGCCTATATAGGCATTTCACTTTTCCATGGGTCTTAACAATTTTTCATGGCAGTTTTCTCAGCAACTACACATTGCAGATAAAATTTTAGTACACTCTTTTTTCCAGGCATGCCACATGGTGGGTTTCATTTCTGCTTGAATCCGATGTCAACTTTCTGTTTATCTGTGTGTCTGTCCATACCAAATTTCCATTGTAGTTTTCTCAGCAACAACTCATCACAGATACTTGAAAATTTTGCACAAAAGAAAACAAATATACATCTCACTCCAATTTTAATCCCCCGCTTTTGCATAAGCAATAGGACTTTAAATCTGAATTGTCTGTCCATTTGTCCCAAAAACTTTTTCCTTGGTCATAACTTTTAAATGAGAAGAAATAGGGCTATCATATTTCACATGTATATTACCTGTGACAAGCCTTTCTACTTATACTTTGATTTTTGACTCGTAACATTGAACTTGAAGTTTGATGTACTTTTCAAAAATGTTTAAAAATATAATTTTTTTTTTACAACTTTTGATTGAGAAGAGATGGGGCTTTCATATTTGACATCTGCAATACCTGTAACAAGATGTTTCCAAGTATGCTATGACTTTTGACCCCTTGTTTGAACTAATATTCAAAAATTTTAACTTTGGTGATTGGGTACTTTTGAATGACATATGATAGGGCGTTCATATTTGACTTATATGAAAATTTAATTGTAAATTATCAAGTTCATTTTTTTAATAAGCCATCTTCTAAAGAAGTGTCAATGGTCAATTGTTTTATGGTTCTCACATCAAACATACAGATTGATAATACATTTACCCAACTTGTGTGTGGAACAAAATAGAATATGTGGGTAGAATTTAACTTTTAACGAGTTGGATAAACCAAATATCAAATCACACAATTATAGCTGGTTTTTTTTGTAAATTTATCTCATTTGCTTTTTATTTTTAACAACTTTGAAATAACCCCTGTGAAACTAGGTTGCTGATTTCTACCAAAATTGATGTCATACTGTTGACATTGATATGTCGAAATTTGTCTGTTGATACAAAATGTTAGATATTGAAAAAAACTGTTGTCTGGAAGTTTTATAATGTGGTAAAGACTTGAAAAATCCGGAGTCCTACTCTGGTATGTATGGCATGATGTAAATTTTTTTCTCTGGCTGCCCCAGTACTATACTATACTATACAATACTTTGTCCCTGCTAGAACCAACCTTTCAAAAGTTATTACATACCAGAAAATATATTGAAATAAAACGACATGCCTTGCAGACACGGATTGAATACGTGTGTCATCATATGAGGGTCAATACTGTCTTTTACAACAGAGTACACGTTGAATGGAAAATAAGAGAAACTTTTCTCGCATAATCACCAGTGTGAGATTGACTTGTCCGGTGTGAGACAGCAGTGTGAGATTTTTCTGTCTTACACTGTGTATTACTACGCCGCGAACGATAACGTAAACATTCCGTCTTTATATAAAGAAATTGTAACAATGTTAAAAAATATTACATATACTTAAAATGTTGTCATTTAACTTATTAAGATAAACTTATTTTCATTCAAAATATTGTCGTATTTTCACTTTTTAAATGGCACTACTTTTAGATCGCGGAAGGATTCTTCTTGAATGAATGTGTACGCTATCGGATAGATAAGTTTTTTTATTCCCAGTTTTTATCTATCTAATTAATTTACATGGACTGAAATTCATTTTATCAGTTTACACCATGTGTAAACCATTTTCAGGTACGCTCTCTCGGATGGTGTATTTAGATTTTTAATTAAATGGAAAATTAAAAGAACATATTTTTAGCCCTATCATGGCGACGTCATTGACAGGCCGTTATTTTGGATAAAATAATGCGAGAAAAATAATCATTCATTACATACTCGTGTGGGAATAGTGAAATTCCACCTCGGGGCCAAGTTTCACGGTCTAGGACTCGGCAAAGCCTCGTCCTAGACCGTGAATCTTGTCCCCGAGGTGGAATTTCACTATCCCACACTCGTAGTAATGAATGATTCTATTAATCTCATATATTTCATCAAGACTCCTCATTCAAACATGACTTTCTGTGACAAAAATGACAAAATTTTGTATAAATTCCAAAATAAAGGTAGTATAGGAAATATTTCATTTGCAAATTGCGGTTCAGGGCTTGTTTTTCCTGTGCAAATCACTTTGCTGTATAAACAATACAGAAATTCACTATCACAACGATTAAAAAAACGAAAAATACAATCTGATAAAGAGCTAAATCCACGAAGGGGATAAGTCGGCCCAGTCATCAAAATAAATGAAACTTTCTCACATAAAATAAGATTTGTATGTTGTAAAACAATTTATTTTTTAAGAATATCTTTTCTGGTTTTCTTTTTAAATTTGGTATTGTTTTCCTTATTAATACTATCACGTCATTACGTTGACGTTACATACTTTAACGTCGTGACGTTGACATTTTGTATAAAATATGTACGTTAATGGAATAGAAATAACCAATACAGGCTCTTCTTTAAAATTTTGGGAAAATTTTACTATGAACTTTTCAAGAAGTTCTAAAAACTTTTGGTTTATTTTTTAATTAAAGCTATTTGTACTCTAAAGAAAAGCAAAATATTTGTTATATACAACTGTTGTCTGGTGTAATCGTTGATACATGTAACACGTTTTAAATGATAATAAGAGACACGTTAAGCTGAAAAAAACACAACGTGCTAATCCGTCACAATTGAGTAAAACTGAATTAATGTAGTAAAATATGTACTATAGTAGCCATGGGTAAGGATTTTATCATTCTTAAATGTGTTATTGTATGTTCATACGGCGTAAGAATAAAAATAGACTTTTTCTCAGAAAATACACAAGTACTCTTTAATAAAAAAAAAAAAAAACATAAAATTAAAATGAAAAGTTGCATTAAAAATGAATACATTTGAAGTTACCATCTATTTTATTGTCATTTTGGGATCATGGGAGATTCTTTTTATCCCATGTTTAATACTTCACAACCAATGTTTTACAGGATCTCCCATGATTTGTAGTTGGATATGATTTTTATCCAACGAGTTGTGTGTTTTTTATCCCCGAGCCTTGGCGAGGGGATAAAAACACACAACGAGTAGGATAAAAGTCATATCCAACTATATAAATCATGGGAGATTCTTTTTATCCCATGTTTAATACTTCACAACCAATGTTTTACACTGTTTTATATAGGACTCCACTTTATTTTACTTCATCGCGCTAACGCAAAAACCA